TACCTCTTTAGTCCATGAGCTCTCAGATGCCTTTCCCTGGCAGGCTGATGTAATTAGAGTGCTAATAACTGAATCAATAAGGACAAGCGCTTGTTCTGTATTTTCAGCTGTTGTGATGACTCATTCTAAAGAGTGTGTGTGTGTGTGTGTGGGTGTCTGTCTGTCTGTCTGCCCGGGCACATGCATGTGCACATGCACTCTTCTTGTTGCTATGTGTTTGTTAGGAAACAAGAGGGAATGATATACATTAAGAATAGGGAAAGGAGGAAAATCTGATTAGTTCCCTGATAATGTCTGGGAATGATGTCATTGTCAGAGCAAGAAATGGCTTCTTATATGTAGCACTTTCCAAAAAAAAAAAAAAAAAGTCTGATTTAGAGATATTTACTTAGTATTTCCAAAAGAACTTGTATTTTCATGTTGCATGAAAAACATTGAGTTGAAACCGTATAGACTGTATATACATGCTATGAGCTGATCCATTGCTTATCCAAGTAAGAATGCACCACCATGCTTGGGAATTCATGTGAAACGCAATTTTGTGGGAAGTATCCTATTATTTTGTCTAATTGTAGTTCCCTCATTAAAAACTGTTTTTAATTATTATTCTTTTAAGAATAAAAATACAGTAATATGTCCATTATAATAAAAATATTTCCATATAAAATATACATAGAATGTACTTACATAACTACTGACCTATAATATTCATCCACTGTAAACAAATAACTAAAAATTATGTAAATGTTTAAATTATACACACATACACAAACATCAAATACACACACTCCTATACACACACATACACAAACAATTCATTATCCTGTAATTTAGGGATGCTCTTTGCTAATCTGGCTTATTTCTTCTAGCACATTTCAGATTTTAATAGTCAGGTAAACATCTTTTATTCTTTTGTGTTTGAACAGCATATCATGAATGTTTTCATAACATTAATATTCTTTTTACACTTCCTTTTGCAAAATCACCATTTTATCTCCTTTTGAATGTTACAGTTTAATTATAAAAGTCATTTAGGTTCATAATAATTTTTAAAATGTAGATGATATAAAGACAAAATTCCTAGTTTTCCATAATTTGTCAGAGACTGCAATGACATACATTTCAGAGTGATATAATTATATGTAATTCTATCTTTCATCAGCCATCATGTTTTTCATTATTGTAACCCTAGCTCTTAGTATGAGAGTTGTTTTACATGCTTTCTGTGAATAAATAAGTAAGTGCATGAATGATTAAATGGAGAAGATGAACAAGTCTCTGAATGAAGAGGCTACGAAGACCTAGCTCGTGGTAGAATAAACATACATTTCAGGCTCAGCAGCTCACTTTACATGGAGAGAGAAGGTAGCTAAGTCTGGGTCCTTAATGAATGGGAGCCTGTTCTTTCTATTCATCCAAATCTGCTCATGGGCAGAAAATTCAATTTAATTTTTACCTCATCAGTAGAGTTGAAGAGCTGAGAAAGCAAACCCAGAAACAATGGAGGAAGGCAGTACTCCTTGTCGTTTCCGTGATAGGAAGATCATGTGATAAGAAGAGCCTCTTGAATTCTACCTGGATTGTCAGCATTTGAAGACATGACAGTCATCTTTTTGCTATGGCTAGATTTAAGCCTGATAAAGGTTGAGCTACATGCCATATGTGATTCAGGAGCCTCCTACATTTAAATGGGAAGCATACATCTTCAGTCTGAGCGTCAGGCCCTTCTGTAACTACATGGGAGTGAAAATAAGTTATTTCTTGAAGACCTACTTAGAAACGTCAATTCTTGTAATAAAGTATATTGATAGCTTCTTCCCAATTACTGGTCTGGCCCATCTCATTTCCAGTAGATAGATACTGCAGAGAAACAATCAGACACAGATATAGGCAAATTGAAAAGGTAGGACAGAAGATAGGTGGGCAGAAAAACTCTACCTCCATTTAGCCCGCAATGGCCATCATGTCCTTTCTTCAATCTATAAGCCAGGGTCAAGATATTAGTCATTTTGGTCCTATTGTTCTTATTGTCCCTTTTGCTTCATAAATCTCTGTCTCGCTTCTTACCTATTCATGCTAGATGCCTTTAAAGGACCAGCTAAAGATTTGTTTAGTGTTGACATCTCATTGTTCCATTTCTACTTCGGTCAATACATAAGGTCTCTCTAACTTTCCACCTCTCTCTCTCTCTCTCTCTCTCTCTCTCTCTCTCTCTCTCTCTCATGTGTGTGTGTGTCTTTGTATACGCACACATGTCGGTTCCAATACCAATTTCCCCTAACACATGGCACATGGCATATCCGCACGTATTCTCAAAAGAGTTACATTTTTTTCTTTCTAAAGAATTAGATGTGAAGAACAAGAAATCAAAGTCCACACAACCTCACTGATTTATAGACTTTCAAACTGCCCTCAAGGAATAGTCAAGAGCAAATGGCCTCCAGATGCCAGAAGGAAAGAATGAGGAAAAACTGACTAAAGGGAAAAGTTATCTGCACAGGAAAAGTACATTCTAGTGATCTGTTTCCCAGAATAGTGATGTGATCAATGCATTGCCAATTGTATCATTTCTAGGAAGGTAGATTTTAAGTGTTTTAACATTAAAAGTGATAACCATGGATACTGTGGTGATATAATGAATTTATCGAGCATAATTCGATCATTTCACAACCTCAACATACATAAGAGTGTCCCATTGCACCCATAAGTATATAATGAATATACTAATTATTTTTCAATAAGAATAATAAGATTTGCTGTCGAATGTCACCTAAGTTAATAGTTTAAAGTCAGTGTTGCTTTATTCTCTAAATTGACACATGAAAGTTAATAGGAACCGTGGATACTAGTTATGCCCATTTCCCTATATAGAGAATTGGAAAGACAGGAATTACCACAGAGTCAAGAGGAGAGAGTCTGATTTGCATAAATACTGTGAGAACTACTGTAGAGTTGGTGTGGGATGGTAGAGACTTGTGATCTGTTAAACTGGGAGGTTCACGCTGGTTTTCTGTGACATTGCCACAGTCACCTTCAGCATCAAATTTGGTGCCTTCAGATGTAAAATGGAACTGATAGCATATACCCACGACTATCTTATACAATATTTTGAAAACTCAAAGTACATATCAATAGCATCAACCTATATATCTTTATAACTTTACAGAAGGAACTAATTCTGTCAGTAGAAACTTATAGTTTTCCACGGTGCCACTTTTCAATAATATCAGCCTGATAAAGGAAAATAGCATAAATTGGCCAAGTTACTTTTCTGAATACCATAAATATTTTTAGATTATTGTAAGTGATGTGAAATAATGGATTTGCAACATGGTCACATGACCTGATAGTGAGGTTCTGGAGAGTACAACCTTACAGGTGTCAGCTAGAGGGGATGCTATTTGGGGATGTTACCGCACACGCTCCTATTTCTGTATGTTAAGGGCCACCTGCTTCACTGCTGGATTCCTCTAATTTTCCCACCAGTAGAATTTTGTGTGCAAAAGTCCCCAAATATGGTATAATGATCATGACAGACTAGATACAAAATTTTTAGAAGGAGAGTTGTGGTGTCATTAGAAAATTTAAGTCCTGGATCTTTCAAGCCAAATTCAATTTCATCAAGACTGAGTTTCAAGAAATCGGGCTTACAGGTGAAGTGACGGGCAGCCCAAAGCTGATGTCTCTCACACACAGGTGACTACCCTTGTGAAATGTTGCCTTTCAGAAGAAGCAGGTCAACCGGTAGTAGCATGAGGCAGATAATACAAATGCAGTAGTAGAATCGTGAGTGGAATGATCACGTCTATTTTGATGGATCAGAGAGTGGTTATGAGTAGGGTTTGACGTCGGTAATCACTACCTTACTTTTATCTAAGCTATATGAGTCTGATATATTTGAAAGCTAAACATGGTAGAATTACTAATACCATCACGGTAACTATTCATTGTCACTTTTTATGCTTTAATTTGTTTATTTTATTGAAAATCACTCATGGTCAGTTTCTCACAGGTTGTTGTAGAGTACAATTACACCCATAAAACAACTGGCTATGGACTCTGACTATATTAGTCAGGCATGAGATACTTTGTGATGTCTTTCCAAAGCCTTGGAGGCCATCAAGTTTTTGTTTTTCCCACATGTTGCTAAATAATGTGACCTGGTTGTTTCTGTTTTTAAATTCTTGTTAATGCAAAGGGTATTCCACAGACACTTCGTAGGTAATCAAGGGATATAAATACAACTAAAAGGAGATAAATCTGTAAGCTATAGTGTGATTACTTCATAATAAGTGTCAAGTAAAAATAAGAACTGAGAAAGAAGAGAGATGTATAGGCTGAAATAATTTATTTATAAATTAATAATTTAATTTATTTGTTTGTTTGCTTGTTTATTTGGCATGTGGAGGAAGCCGCATTTTTGATTGTCTTACTTGGAAGAGGGAAATTTTCCTGAGTTATTCCTGCCATCTTACCAAGGCATGGGGTTGCCATCATCCTCGCATTTCTGATGGCACTAGAGAGTTCCATTTCACAGTATCTATATTATGTAAATCATAAACAAAGAAGTCAAAGAGTATAGCACATTGTGTATAACATTAACTTAGGTAGCAACTGATGAACAATTTTACACGCATGACCCTTTACCCTAAGAATACAGAGTATGACTGTTACATGTTGCCACATTCTTCAGGATGAGACTTGAGTGTGAAAATGGATCAATTGTTTTAATTCAAAAGTTTATGAATTGCCTTTGATGTCTTAGCTACGAAGAATCGGTGATAACCACCAGAAAAATATTTATATTCAGATAAAAATTGTTAGTCAATTAACAAGTAGATCAAGAAGACACAATATGATTCTTGCATTTTTATGAGCAAATTTAGAATCTAATCGTCTGGTACTGTGGTCCTGTCATTATATAGTGGGGCACACCCGCATTGTTCTTCACACTTGGCCCTCATCTTACTCAACGTATTCTTCACTTCACTGTCTTTCAGCTTTATAGCTCCATGGACTTCGGCAGACGATGGCAACTCATGCATGAGCGCATCACACCCAACAGGTTTTACTGGTAAGCACCTTTTATATACTCCCCACCTCTAGGATAACGAAAAATCATGAGCTAATAGAGTGTTCTGAACCATTCTGGGCACCTGCAGCTGTGGGAGACAGGTGTCTTCGAGCTCTTTGCTACTCGTAGAGCAGTCCATGGACCAGCAGCACTGACTTAGAAGTGCAGAATCTGAGGCCTCGGCATGAGTTATGGAATTGGAACATGATTCCCTGGCAGTTCTTGCATACATCAACTTTGCAGAGCACTGAGCTAGTGAACGCTTGTCACCAGGTGCTCTTAGATATATTACCAAGCTCTCCTCATTTTGGAATTGTACATATTTTATGGAGCTGGTCACACAGCACTGTTTCTCAAAGATATCCTGTAAAAAAAAAAAGAACAATTTATACCAAGGTTTTCTTTTTTCATAGGAATTTCTATGGTCATGAAACTTTAGGTCACAACTGTTCAATTTTATGTTTCCAGACTTGTGATCTGTGTTAAGATAGGGAAGACTCTAAAGAAGCATGCCAAACTTGAAGCTACAATAGAATTTTTTCTATGTCACACCTCTGATAAATACTTTAGAACTCTCTCTACAGGGCACATATTGTAAACTATTGCAATTAGTGAATTCCTGTTTTGAACGGGAAATTAGCCTTTCTCTCTAATCAGAAAGTGTTTTTATTAAGTAATGTTCCTTTAATCATGAATACTATTTTACCATATTAAAGCAAATTCAGTGCCCATTAGTCTTCTACAGTTCCCTATAATCATGAGATTCTTCGATCTTGCTTACTTCAGCAGAAGTAATAGATAAAGGAATAGGAACGAAGAAGCCTAGAGCTACATATATAATACATTAAATCATATACTTAATTAAAAGTGAAAACAAAATTAAAGCCCTTGAAAGTAATATCTATTCACAACTCGTTTCAAACATCTTCCAGCTTCCCTTAAAAAGTCACTGCTTGTTATTTGCACTCTACACAATATCTAGATAAGTTGGAGATGGTAGGGATGATGCTGACAACTTCCTTGGACATGTGCAGAGTCACACTAACAGAGCTGCAAACAAACAGTTCCCCTTTGTATCACAAAACTATGATCAGAATTACAAACAGTAGTTGTTCATGTGTACAAAGGCAACCCACCAATCCACCTGTGCACAGGTCAGTGGTGATACAAGAGGGACATGTATTACTCTTAACTCCACTCCTGGCCTATGTATTACTCTTAACTCCACTCCTGGCCTATCCTTACTGTTCTTTGCCTTTTGCAGACCAAGAGTTATTTCATCCGTATCTCTTAATATAACTATTATTTGGTCTGTCTTTGGAACTATTAATCTTTTGCAGTAGACTAAGGCAGAAAAAGGAAATATTGTTTTTCCACGGATACTCTAGCATTATAGTATACCTTTGCTCAGTGGAAATGGACCAATTTCTCAGTCTGCCAGTATTTAAGAAAAGAGGAATGAATCCCTCTGCTGTTTCAGGAATAAACTTGAGATGGTAAGGTGATTGTCCAAGGAGGGGAAAAGCAGAGTAGATGGCATTAACCATGCCATCATCGCTGAAGGGAGATGTGGACAGAAGGACATGCAGTGTATGTGCTCATTTATAAGTGGATATTAGCCATAAAATACATGCATGGTATGTATGAATACATAAGTGGATATTAGCCAGAAAATACAGGATACCCATGCTACACTTCACAGACCCAAGGAAGCTAAATAAGAAGGAAGGCACAAGAGAGGATGCTTGAATCTCACTTAGAAGGAGGAATAAAATAGTCATAAGAGGTAGATGGAGGGAGGATACTAGTTAGGAGAGGGGATGGGAAGGGAAATGAGAAGAGAATGGGGGTTCTGGATCTGATGTGGGGAGGGACAGGAGGAATGGCCAGATGGCCGTGAGAATGGATGGAAATCTGCAACTGATGGGGGTGAGAAGGTCGCAGGCATCTACAGGAAGAGACAGAGACCTGGGATAGGGGAGGAGCCCAGGAATCAATGGGTGTATCCTTAGCTGTGACTCACATCATTGCTGATGTGGAACCTGAAGAGGCCACCTCCTCTAGCCAGGCAGGATAAGGACACTGACTCACCACAAAACTTTTCACCCAAAATTTACCCTGTCTACAAGAGATTCAGGGATGGGGGATGAAGAAGAACATTTTCCGATCTTTTGCAAAGAGCCAGAGTGGAATGTTCCAGCTGTTTCCCCTCTGCTCCCTTTTTCTGTGGAACCGACAGAATAAATCCCTAGGTCCTGATAATTGTGTTTTATCTGTCTTCCACTCTGTGCTTCTTTCATATATGCCCCCATGGGGAAATATAAAAGTTAGTGCCCGTGCCAGTCAGCCAAGTGATAGCTGAGCGCTTTGTTTTTGCAATTATCACTTCTCTTCTTCTGAGGTGTAATTGCTGTGATTATTCTTTTAGGTATCATAGGAGTCACAGAGGAAGAGCTCATAGTTTTCTGTCTGTTTTTTTTCCACCAAATACAGAATTCAAGGTTATCTATGGCTTTTTGCCACTTCTGTTGAAGGCACATGGTGTATGCAATAGGCATATCTTATACCCCTTTGAGAAAATTCAAAGTGTGTATTTCTCTGGATAAAAGTTTGGTCTTAGTGTGCTCTATTAAACCTGTATTTTCCACATACGTGCAGTGGGAAGAGGGTTTGTCTTGCAGTTGCACAGGGTCACCAAAAGGAGAATATCTGAATATGGGGAGACTCGATGGTTTCAGATCTCTACCTCAGATTTAATTTGTGCACTATAACTTAAAGTCACTAGCAAGTACTACAAAGTACTATTAAGTACTGTGTTTATTAACCATTTTTAGAGGATAACCCATAAGCCAACCATTGTTTTGCTGGTGCATAAACGTGAATCCTATATATGATGGGGCTGTGTGCTCATGGGCATTTGGTAAGAGTTCAATGGATCAATTTACAACCTAGAATCCACACTATAAGCCCAATGTCACTTTTACCACTCTTCATTAACATTCTTATGAAGTGATAAAAATAAAACCAAACAAGGAGATGTTTTAAAGCTGCTTCCTCAGGAGGGAGGTTTCTGGGTGTGGTATTGAGGGTGCTAGGGCATACTGGTGAGAGGAGACAGGGTATAAACAGACACTGAAGTAAAAGTCAAGGAGATTTTTAATTTTTAATTTTTAGACATGGTACATAAGAAATATTCTCTAAATATTGCTACTTATGACTTGGGCATTTGCAAATGTCTAAGGGGTAGATTTCTATGAACTTGGCTTTACTCATGCCTCTTTCAGCCACTGAAAGGAGAAGCTTAGAGAGAAATCTTTGAGCAGAGAATGCGTTTTGCTTTCCAGAGGTGATTTCTACCCAATGTGCTACAGAGGTGGCTATTGGAATGTTCAAGAATGTGCTTTATGACTTTCCTCATTAGCTGAGCCCTCAATGCTGATGGGATAGTGCAGGTCATGAGACATAATATTTATTAGTATCTGTAATAAATGCCTCCATAATTAAAACATGTTTTCTAACCATATCAAAAAGAGCTCACCTAGGGGTCTTTGATGCACGATGATGTAGCCATCAGTCATGCTTCAGGAAGGAGACAACGGACTCAAAAGCTCTGTATTTATGGGTTATCTTTTTAGTCATTTGATACCTGGGCATTCTGTAATCTCTGGGCCTACACAGTGATCCCTTGTCATCTCTCCAGGTGCTCCAGAAATGGGAATTTACAAGAGCACATGAAGAGACGTATCTTAATGTTCTTTCTCCACTCTTCTTAGTCACTACATGTTATAGAAGAGTTAGAGTCAGGTAGAAAGTTTGCCTGCTGGGTTTTCATTTTCTATTGTTTAATTCCACTGAGCCATGAGTGATTCTCATGGAAGATGCTGAACAAATAGGTACCTTCTGCAGTGGAAGGATAGTTATTGTTTGTTGATTTGTTGTTTTGTTTTGTTTTCTACTCATTCAGTGTTAGCATTTGTAGCACACGGCTTCATCTCTATGTCCCTACTCTTTTTCTGGGTGTTCACACTCTGTGGGTATCTTCTTAAATGGGAAGTGGGAAGAACAGGAAATCAAAGCAGTCCCCTCCTGCTATGTGCATACAGGAGTCCTAGTGAAGTATTCTTTAGGGGAGGGACAATGATACGATTTTTAGTATTTTAAAGCTTGCCCTTCAAATATTATTCAAACCACACATTTTTTATTGTTGTTGTTATTTGTTGTTTTTTGTTTTATTTTTATAATCCACTTATGCCATATAACAATATGAGCTCATTTACAGCTAATTTACTTCCTGTTCATGGCAGGCAGCCTTCAGTGTGCCTCTATGCATTGATATCTGCCTTCTGGTATTTTGTCATTCCACCCCTTAAGTGAAGGCTTCGTTTGGTGACATTCTAGAGAACAGAACATGGCGGAGGAAATGAGACTTCACTGTGGAGATTAGAGTATAAGAAGACAGCGATTTTCATGGGTGTATCCTCATGTGAAGTCATGCTGTTATTCTGTACTCTGAGGAAGGCTATATACCAACTGAAGGATGGTCCCCTGTTAGTGAGGAACCAGGCTGCCAGCTGAACAGTTTAATGCTAGCTTGAAGATAAATGATAATATTTAAGACATGCAAATGAGCTTGAACATAGATCCCTCACTAACTGAATTTTTATAGGAGACAGAAATCCTGGCTAACACTTTCAGAGAAATTCACTGGAAGCTCTTTGTGCACAGTTCCCCAATACTGAGCCACAGAAACAGGTAGCTTAATATTTATTGGTTTTAGCTTCCCACCTTTGGTGATTTGCTATACACGAATAGCTAGCCAGTTACTGCTTGAGTGTGCATTATAGGCTATAACTGTAGACTTCTGCTCACGTATGCTGTCATGCAGCCATACACTGCTTGTATCTGGCCCTATATCCTCTTTGATATCAAACTTGATGTTGCTCTGTTTTACCACAGAGAGGTATCTCTATGTGTGGGTGTTCTGATCATCTGATCCTCTC